CTTTGGTGACTTCCAATATGCCCTGGGTATAACTTCAGTGCTCAATCTCAGATGAGAACATCAGCAAAGCCAGGCGCACCATAGTGTTAACCTGGGAAGTTACCTCTTAGCTTCAACCTGAATAATCGCACCTTACATGATACCAGTGGCCGCTGCTCCCAGCATTTTAACACCTTGTAGACTCGGCCCTCACTTAGAATGTACACACGTTGGGGGAAAAAACCGGATGAAAGTGAGCGATGTGTGCGCCCATCCGAGAGAGAAAGTCAGAGGGTCTCTGATATGCTTGCGAGAAAAAGATCCACGTGCGAAGAATGTTCCCAAACCCACACACTCTGAAGCTGATATTAACTGACGAAATCCCGAAGTGAATTTTTTTAAAATTGGTTTCACCCCATTTAAGACAGTAAAGCCACTACGGCACAAGGGGTTGCAGGTTGTGGAAGAATTAGAAACAGAAACATTAATAATGAGCAGGAAGAGAAACGAGTAATCAATAAGACTGTAGATAGCGATTGACATTGCATTTAAATTTTCTCAGAATAAAGTTGGCTGGAATCCATGCAGCAGGAAGGAAGCTCCACAACCGAGAAGTGCAAGAGAAGAAACTGTTAGCATAGAACTTACGGTTACATAGAGCCAGCTTAAGTGTAAATAGATGAGATTTCGACGCCAGTCTAGTACTGTACTTAAATTCCTAAAGTCTAGGTACCATAGCGAAGAGCAATATTTATTCTGTTTTCTACAGAAATGTGGCACAAGGCCGAAGGCCGAAGGGGGGATTGGGGAAAGGACGGTCTTCTTCTGTCTTAACTATAACTTAGCTAGCCGCAAACACTGACCCAATCGTACGAACAATATTTCTTACACCAAAACAACACATTCATACGTACCTTTCTTACTACAATCACCATAATACCTCTTTGTCTCTATGAAAATACTAACTACTCCCCATATTTACAATTCATTGTCTGCGGGGGGGGAGGGGAATAAAACAACAATTCTAAAAACTAGCCCCAATACCTTAGCGAAGAGCTCATCTGAACAATTTCCATGAAAGTATTTATAGAAATGACATAGCGAGTCAATATGACCTGCTGGGAAAGTGACTGGAGCTGAGTAGCCAGATCAGGACCAATAATATTGTAGATTCTTCTTTGGATTTTATCAAGGCTTTCAAGGTAAATAGCAGGGACACCGGACCATATGTAGCAGCAATATTCTAAGCTTGGACGAATTAAAGATGTGTAAAATAGATTCTAGAGAGAAAGAAAAGTTGTCTCACACGAAACAAACTTACAATCCAAATTTACATACAAATACGAGATTGGTGTATCCCCCGGTGTCGCTGCGCCAAATGTGACGTCTGCCTGGCCGCGCCCGCCGTGCTGTCCTGGTCGCACCCGTCAATTGTGACGTCACCCCGTCTGTCTCCACGCCGTCGCCGTCCTATCCTGTCCTGTGACGACCAATGTGACTTGGTATTGGTTGCGGCACCAAATGTGACGTTCTAACCTTTTGCTGATTCGGATGGGAATCTGGTTAGATTCGGCATCAGCCTTGTCGTTCCCCGCTCGCTTCCAACGTCTGGTTACCGAAGTAACTGTTTTGATTTCTAGTCTAACCTACCCACGTTGTGATTTGATCTTAGGTAGACGAAATCAATCAGTCACCGGGCTGTAATACAAGTCGAGTTCGAACAAGAGTGATACCGCACAAGTATATGTAAAAGAAAATAAAGTAATACCTCGAAAAGTTCAAATGTGTTAAAAAAGGATAACAATATTTTATATCTGGTTTCCGAATACAGGACTGCGTCTTTCTCCCAAACCGCTATATGGATTCGTGACACTCTATGTTTGTTAGGCGAGTTTTAACATCTTAAGTTGTTTGTTCTTTAAGAAACTGGTTCTTGGTGTATCTTCAGGCGATATTCGTAAAACTTGTTTTGGTGGTGTGAGTCTAAGTCGTTCTTCAAAAATAAATTGTTCTTGGTTAGAAGTTGAGTTGGAATCTTTCACTCAGGTTCCTGCGAGGCGGGCCCAACTCAATTCAACTCAGCTGCGAACTGCGAACTTAACTCAACTGAACTTAACTCAACTTCACTTAACTGCTTTTCACTTGCTGCGACTCTGCTTATATGGACGCCGACCAAAACCGGGGTGGGCTTGTCGGGGTTTGAGGTTCCTTGATAATTCTAAATCCACAATGCACTTCTTTGTTTTCGGTCAGAAAAATTCATTATTTTCCATTTTTTGAAGTCTTTCGTCCTCTCACCTTCTTCTGTTCTCATATTGGTATCTCACCATGCCCTCAGAGGGTGTCAACGGGTTTCCCCTCTCTCTCACAGTGGCATTTCATACCGATCCCTTCAAGGGGTGTCAACAGGCCTCCCCTCCTACTTCACATGATTACCTTCGCCTAACGCTCACGCCAGCATTCAGCCAATGGGCGCCCAGCAGTGCGGGTGTGGCCAGACTAGCCTCGGTTTAAAAATCTTGCTCAAAGAAAAAAATTATCCTCTTTTTTCTTTTCTTTCTTTTTCTTCTTCTCGACAACAACCCAATACGACCCGTAGTGTGGTCTCTTAATCTCAATTTTATCCTGAATGTCACCTGGGATTCATCACACGGGACCTTTGCCAAACAAGTGGGTGGTCAATTGGACGTATCGCACCTTGGTGCCAATTATTCGTTCTGATAAAATAATTTTGCTTATCATAGCCAGCTTTTGACACGAAACAGGTGACATCTCCGTAGATGGCTAATGGGTCAATCTTTTCTTCCTGATGGTCCAGCGGACATTTTGCCCGCGACCCAGTGCATGAACTAATTAATATTATCTCTCAGTTTCTGTTTCGTAGGTCACTCGACCGACCTGAAATTTCCATTATCGGCATGGGTGGACGGCTGTATTTTATTCGCCGCCCCGTAACATAAATCAGATTAAATCCAGTACCTTACTTTCTCGATAATGAAAATAAAATTTTACCACTTTTCTTTGTTAGAAAAATAACATCGCTTAGTGTCCTTTTCGTGATTGCTTCTTATCACCTAAATTTAATTTTCGCCTTTTCCTTTTTTTTCTTTCTTTCTAGCACCCCTAAATAGTGTCACACAAATTCAATCAGTAGTTATGGATCAAAATTACTTCGTCTTGCACACGGCAAACATGCAGGAGCTTCGAGGTAAAAAGAAAACACGACGACTATTTTGCAAAGATTAGTTTGAAAACTGTGACTATGGAGCCATTGCCATATTTATGGGAGTTTCTGTATAAAGTTTCACAAGAAAAATGAGTTTTAGAAAAATAAATTCTTGCAAATATTTTAGAGAAACGCTAACTTTCAAAAGTCAACTGAAAATGTTGACGCATTTATGGGGGAATGAAAAAAAATGTTCATATAAGAAAGAAAAGTGACCGAACGATTATTTTTTTTTATTTTTCATTGATATTGATTTATCTTAAATCAGATGAAAATTTCATTGAAGGGAGCTCCGGGGCAATTCAGTTATCTCCCCTGAAAAAAGATGTCACGTGGTGCTATTCAGTTGGCCTGACGAGCGAACGGAAACAACTTGAGGCTATCATGAATTTAAATGGTCCATTTGCCGACGGATATTTGTCCACTTTGAACCCATGTTCTACCTATCTGTCTCAGTTTGTTCACATCTATCTATCTATCTATCTATCGTTATATGTATGTTTATATATATATATATATATATATATATATATATATATATAGCTTGTCCACATTTTTCTACTTGTCTGACTTGATTTGTTCATATCTATCTATCTGTCTATCTATCGTTATATGCATATGTGTTTATATATATTTATATATATATATATATATATATATATATATCAGTCTGTCTACATTTGTCTACTTGTCTGACTTGATTTGTTCATGTCTATCTATCTATCTATCTATCTATCTATCTATCTATGCCTTTAACAATCTTTCTTTCTTTCGTCCTGTCTCTCTCATTCTGTTTATATTATAGATAGATAAATATAATCTATCTATGAATATATCTGTGTATATATTATCTGTCCAAATTTGTCTATCTGTTCAGATCTCTCTTTCTCTCTCTCTCTCTCTCTATATATATATATATATATATATATATATATATATAGGGACAGCAGATCATTATACAAACATATTGTTAAATATAACATACATATCACATGTACACACACACCTTATTTATTCATATATATATATATATATATATATATATATATATATATATATATATATATATATATATATGAATATAAGGTTGATATTTAGGTTTGCTCTACTTACTGTGTATTCAGCATTTTACGTGGTTACTTCTGCTTTACTCGTTTTGTTTTGTTTTTTTTTGGACTCTGAGTTTGGATTTTCGACAATTGTTTTCGCCTCAATTACATGTTCTTAGTTCTTTTTTTTTTTAATTTTGTATCCCTTTATTTTCCCTTGGGCATTGGTTTGTTCAACTATAAGCCAAAATACCTAAGGTTTTTCCAAACGAGTATAACTATTTATATCGTATATATATATATATATATATATATATATATATATATATATATATATATACACGTACATATATATTCAAATGATCTGCCATTTTTATGGCATGGAGGACTTTTTATGCCAGAAGGCTAATTTTGGGCAAACTCTATTTAGAGCTGCTTATCCGAACCTTGGAGTCATATTCTCTAGCGTGAATTTGGTTGTCTGGTCCTGTTGAGCACCTTTTGGGCTTTTAATGCTTCAGTTTCTGTACCATGGCACCGGTTTTCCTTGTTATTAAGCACTTAGTGCTACCCTGTCACTGTTTTTTTTTTTTTTTTGCCTTTTTTAGATCTTGGCTCGATGACAGTGTAACAGAAAGTGATATATATATATATATATATATATATATATATATATATATATATATATATATATAGAGAGAGAGAGAGAGAGAGAGAGAGAGAGGGGGGAGGTGGAGAAATTATCG